CAAAAATTATTCAGAGACCAGATATAATTTTTGATATTTTTTTACTAGTGGGTGCAGGACACTATAGTTCATTTATATTAAGTGAGGATAGCAAAATAAAGTAAACTGTGACAAATCATACCCAAAAATTCTTCATACAGTGGACTACCAGTAAAACTGATACAAATTTGGGACCAAAAATTATTCAGACCGAGTCTGGGAAAAAAAAAATTGAAGTTGAGGTTTGCATGAAGCTGGGTGACAGCATGCCCAGGAGACTATATGCTGTCATTAAGGCTAAGGGTTGCCCGACTAAGTATTCATAGTTGTGTAATTACTGTCATACTAACAACTGTCTAATTTTTGGTTGATTGTAGTTCATTACATACCTTTCAATCAAAGTTATCTAACATTATCAAGCTGAATTTGTTCTGAAACAGTTTAACTCTGAGTTCTTGTCATATTTTATTACCATTTTCTAAACTATAGCGAATAAACTGTGATGATGTATTCTCTTATTTGCCTTTGCTTAAAAGTAATAATTAATCATGTTAAAACACACCCTGCTGTCCACACGAACGCGGTTATTTTTAAAACCGCAGCTTTTTCTACGCGGTTTGGCCATTCATCCACACGCAAACGCAGCACCAGATCACTGAAACCGAACATTTTTGAAAACGCCTGCCAGGGTGAAGATTTTGAAAAACTCAATTAACTTGTGACGTCGGAGCCTGCGTTGTTATCTCCGCCTACTGGAAACTTTTTCAGGCTTCTGATTGGCCAACATGGCTTTACGGTTGAGATTATATCGCCACCTGTTGGTTTGGCATGCTCTTGACAGTGCTTCATAGCATGCGTTTGCGTTTTCATGTGGACGGAGATTTTTTTTAAAGGAAAAAGGAAAGGAAAAACTCTATTTATAAAAATACCCGTGTACGTGTGGACATGGCCTAAGATAAAGATAACTTTGTGTTCAAAATAAAAGTCATGTTGTGCATAAAAGTTTTTTAAAGAATGGAAAAATAAATAAAAATGTCTTTTCAAGGTAACTGTTCAGAGAAAATCAGTTGGCGCACTTTGAAAATAACTAAAATTCCTCTTAGCACCTTCCATGCAAGCATGTGACCTTTATTTTTAAGTGACCTCTGAAACCCTTTGACAAATCTTATTCATGCCACCAGAGTCCTGTGGCCTGTCTGACAGCACGACGAATTCATCTTCTGACAGTATGCAGATGCCCTGATGGCTGTTTATATACTGACTCACTGTGAGAAACCTGCCTCTCATTCCTTTCTTCTGCTCTCCTTCTCAGCAGCATTGTATCAGGTTTGCATCACGAGATGACATCAGACACCAAGCATGCATTCAGCTCCATTGACTGCAATAGCTAAATATGGCTGTGGGTCGGCACGCCGCGACCGGCCGGGTGGGCGGCAGCAGGCCAACTCTATTACACGCACTCAAAGACATTCTTTCAGAGAATATGAGACCTTTTCTTTCTGGCTGATCTTCCACAGACAGGGGAAAATATCCTTATAAGGAACATTTCCACTATATGTACACTACAACACCTGACTGAAGAACACAAGATGTTAGAATGTATGAATGACTGTTTCAAATTCCTAAAAGGGATAGTTCACCCCAAAATAATTACTACTAACCCTCATGATTCTTTTGAGTGAATTAAATACAATATGCAACCAGTGGTGTCTGATTCCTGAATGTAATGACTTTTATGAGTTGGTTCTTTAATGATTAGTTCAAAAAGACTTTTACAGTCCTGTTCTGCATGTACATACTATATACTTGTTATAGTAATTACAATAACTGGGTAATAACTATACTAACCCTGAAACTACCCCTAAACCTAATCCTAACCCATGTAGTTACCTTATATTATCCAGTACTTTCTTAGGTAAGTACACTGTAAACACAGGTAAGTGCACATACTGTAAAATAAAGTGTAATCGAAATAAGAGTCTTGTGAAAAAAGTTGAGTTGTGAAAAAAGTACCATAAAAGAAGCCATGCATTGCTATGATAGAATTAATTGAACAATGGGAATTTCAAAGAGATGGATCCAGTGTTATTGTTAACAAAAAATATTAAAATTATCTTCATTAATTGAAATAATGTTGAAATTTAAAGCCAAATCAAAATATTTAAAAAATAAAATTATAAAAATGACAAAAGCAGAAAATTACTCAAATTTAAACTAAGATTAAGATATAAACTGTATAAATAGCTAACAAGCTATTATAAGTTAATTCAAAATATTAAAAAGATATACAATTTTATACAAATAATACTAAAACTGGGTGGGGGTCCCATCATTTATTGTCACAGTATGTTTAATAGCTTATTTTAATCTGACCCAACACTTTCTACATCCTCAAAATTCTGTGACGCAACATTATTTTTGAAAAATAGCCAGAAGGGAAGGCCAAGGCCTCCACAGAATTTAACAATACAAAAGAAAGCACTGTCTGCCCCACATGATTTTAATAACCTCCAAAACCCTGCCTTGATGTGACATACACATTATTCTAAATCAGTATCGTGTCTGCAGTGTACTTAAGCTGTGCACCCTCCTCAGGCTCTTCACTATGCTGTGGAGCATGTCTGTCTGGAGTGAAAAAGCCAGCCAAACAATGTTTGTTATGCAGGACACGCAGCGTTGTCCAATGCCGTCCTCGCCTGGCTCACAGCACAAGAGGGAATACACCAATGGTTAATGTTTAACAGGCTGCAGGGGCTCTGCAGATAAAGCCTGTGAAGATTTGACATTTCTTCTGTAGCAGAGAAGTAGGACATGACCACTGCTGAGTCACCATCAAAAGACTGAGATCATATTCAGTATTCTACAGAGCGCACCAGACTCCCTTGGGTTCGTCTCATGGAATGATGCACCACTGATGAAGAAACACTCATGTGGCAGATCCGTAGATCTTTCTCTACTCGCCATCGAGGCAAAGGCTAATAAATACCAATAAAGATGCAATAGTTGCATCAATGGTATTGTATTATTAAAGCAAAAAGCAGAAAGACAACTCTGACAAGTAGGCAGTGAGCTTTGAGCATGTATATTCCAGTCAAGCAGCCTTGAATGCTGCTTCCTTTGGGAACTCATTGCAGAAAAGCTTTTCATTAATAAGACCAGGGTGAGTAACAGCCTCTGTCGTCCTTTGAAGTCTACAGATATCTTGACAAAAACACGCTCATGAAAATGCAAATTCAGGGCTTCAAAGTGGTGATTTAACTGAACTTAGTCCAGCAGACATTAACATTACATTGCTGCACTATCTGCGTTTGATTCTGCAGTGTGAGAGTTCACCTGGTTCATATTCTCACCATCACACATGCAGATGTCAACTCGTAATCTATGAATGCACGTGTTCTTCCATGGGGTGGAAGGTGTTTTGTGGATAAGACAGATTTACTAAGTCATTTTCCCCACTAAAACTAATTTTACACCTAAAGAAATAATTGAGTAAATATCACTGTTCTAGGCTATTTGTTTGCTAGCTGATTCAAGCTACTACTACACATCAACCCCTGTTTGCACTGTTTACTGCAGTCAGTGTCTGTAACTTTGGTTTTTACCTTCTCTGCACCTCCAGCTCCTCTGGTGATGGGCCATTCTCCACCTGAGGGGTCTGTCTTGGCATCGGGGGGCCTGTGGGGGGGAAGAAAAAAAAAAAGAGGAAAAATCTGGAATGAGCATCAATTTGAAACTTGGAAAGCACTAAAGACTTTGAAATCTGATCAATAATGTAAAGTGCGCTGGACAAGCCCCAAAAGAGTAATAGAAGTTGAGGTTTTAGAGAGAGAGAGAAACATGGGCCGCTGGCTGCAAGACACATCGATCAGGTGTGTTGGACAGCAAGAGTTAATTAGGACATTATATATCAGTGAAAGGGGAAAAGATTATCTGTAAAAGGAACCGTCAGCAGCAGTTCAAATCACTGTGCATAAAAAAAAACACAGTCAGTGCCATGGTGAATTACTTCACATATTTGTCACTTTATCTAAACAATAAATAACTTTATTTCATTCTTGTCTGAAGGGCAGGACTTTGTTAGAAATGGAAGCATATGCATAACTGTAAAAATATACCAAGCATTAAAAATACATTTTAAATAAATAAATTATTTATATTGATAGTATATATTATAAAATAAAATAAAATAAAAATATAAATATAAATGGAAGGAAGGCTGACTGATGACCTTATGCTGGAAATATATTATGCAGATGGAAACCCAAGCCTTGATATTGTCTTATTTTACAGCACAGTTTGGGTATAGAGGCTTTGCTGATTTTGCCAGGCTGAATTTGAGAGCAAAGGAAGGTAGAGGTCTGAATGAAAGCTTAGCACGAACGAAGTCTCTGCCGTGACATGCTTTACTAATCAATCAATGCAGCATTGTGCAGGTGAGAGAGGTCTGTTTACAGAGTCTGGAGGTAAGGCCCTCTCTGGAGCTCATTACCAGACTACATGTGCCCTCTGCCATTTCCTGTTTATTTGCTTCACACAGCAGGGCATTGCAAAAACAAGAGCTTTTTTATCCTTACACCTGTTTGACCTGTTTCTTTCCTGCAGTTTCATCATTTTAGTGGGGGAAGGTAGTCTAAATAGCCACATAGACAAACTATTGACTACACATCAAAAGGTCTGGTCCACACTGCAGATTTGAGACCATCTGCCTGACAAAGGACCAATAGTTAAAAATGTTTCCAATGGATTTCTCTGAAATGGATTATGCCACAATAATAAAATCTAAGCAAGCTAAAATAACAAAACATAACATTTCACATAGCACATAACAAAAAAACAACATAAAACCTAAAACAAAACTAAAATAAAGCAATAAGCCCCGTGAAGCCGTGGTTTACAGTGAATTTATAACAGCTAGGGGGTTATAAATTAACTGTAAACCACGGCTTCACGGGGCTTATTGCTTTTATAAAATGGTTATTCCATATACGTAGTAAGGTTTCACAGAACAAAACAGAGCAAATAAAGAGTAATGATATAAATAAAAACAGTATTCTTCCACCAAACAATGTAGTTCCTCAGAAACAGTTGTGGTTCCAACAAAGTGGTTGCCGAGCAACACACAGAAGTAAACAAAGGTGTATGTTTGTCGTGTAATTTACAACAGCTTCGAACGTAGCTCAGCCAATCAGAAATCAAGGACCGGAACTATCCATTTTATAAACAATATTTAAAAAACATTACATTTAACATATAAAAGATAAAGCAAAACACAACATTTAACAAAACATAAAACAACATCTGTCCTGGGAAAATAATAAAATAACATCTTTTTTAACATCAACATGAATGTTGGAGCAAAGTAGATCATGGCATGCAAAGCGCACCAAGTAGCAAAGCTAAACTCAACCTTAACCAGAAACAAATGGCTTGCAGAACAGAATTGGATTAAACAAGTCTGAATGCAGAATTCTCCCTGCAGCACAAGACTCCATGAAAAAATATGACATTAGAGCTGAGCCATCTGGACAAGCCGAGCAGTAATCAACTCATCTGTCAAATCTAATCTAACATTACAATTCTGTGCTCCCCTTTAAGAAAGTCAACCGTTCGTTATTGTCCATGTTTGTGTAACCCACTCTACAAATTCCCTTCTTAAATGTTCTGTCTTTAACACATAAAATACACCTACGCTAGCCTTAATGTGTATGTAAAAGGCCCTGTTATATAAGCATTAAGCAAGCACCCGCAGTTTCTCTTCCTGCCTTGAAACAGAAACAAACATTACTCTTAAAATGTGATGCGCTAATCACAGATTATCAAAACTATTCATAAAAACAGATGATATCTAATGAGTAGGGATGGGTACCGAAACCCGGTATTTAATCGGTCCCGGGGCTAAATTATGAAAGACCGGAGTATCGATAAGCTCTGACGTTAACGGTTCTGCTATCGGTACTGGAAAAATTAATAAACCACACATACATTTATTATTGCTATATATACATTATCTTGCAAATTCTATCTCACCAGAGTCGCCAGCTGTTTTTCAAACATTTGTCTATGATGCATTTTTGCTATTCGCAGTTCAGAAGCGAGATCGCACCCACGCGGAGGAGCTTCAGCATGCGCAACATGAAAGCCCTGTTTAATTATGATAGAAGAGAGAACTAAACATTCAAACATCTGTAATACCATTAAAACCTTAATGATACCCATCCCTACTAATGAGTCAGTGGATATAGCCTCTTCAGAGACCAAGGTCAAGTTGTGCAAACATTAACTTTATGTTTGTTATTATTTGTTATTATGGCCACATTATAAAGATTTTTGAGTGCAATTTGAAACTCTGACACAAAGGCAAGTATACTTGCCCCATTTAACCCGGCCAATCTGAACAGCACTTTAAAGGCTGGCTCTGGTCCAAAGGCACTCAGTGTCAGCTTTAATATGGACTGATCCTCCTTCAAGCCAGTTTGGTAATGTACTGCCATTAGATCACACACAGATAGCATAACCTACAAATGGACTTCTTATTCTACTAGCATGCACAAATAAAATAAAATAAAATAATAATTAAGTCAATAAGATATTAATTATAAAAAATAAAATATAAATAATAAACATGATGCATCATTAGAAGTATAATTAAATGTGCATCTTATATTAGTTTAATATGTATTAAAAATAATAAAAATAACAGTAAACTTGTTTCTTGTACCACCTTAGCTTGCTGAATTCGCACAAATATGTAATTATTAATTATTAGTAATTATTCAAACACAAAATAATATAATAAAATAATAGTAAATAATAATAAAATAAATAAAATATAACCCAAACTTAACGTCAGAATCAGATCAAGCAGTGATTGTTGTAAGATGCCGTCTTTACTGTTGCTAAATTTACATGTTTGATAAAACGTTGAAAGCACAATCCGCACAAGAGAAGCTGTTCCTCAGGCTGAAATGTGTGCGCGCAGCACACTCCAAAATGGACAAACAAATTACACTTTGAGCTTCGGGTGCATGTCCAATCGATCAAATACACACAGAAATATGTCAAAATGGCCGGCTTGGAGAGTATTTACTTAAACACAGTTTATGTCTTAAGTGGAGGAGAACAGTTGGGAGAAAATCCGATGTGTGTCAATATATTGTCTTAAAGTGACAGACTGGCGCTTGGAGTATACTTGCCCCATTTAACCCGGCCAATCTGAACAGCACTTTAAAGGCTGGCTCTGGTCCAAAGGCACTCAGTGTCAGCTTTAATATGGACTGATCCTCCTTCAAGCCAGTTTGGTAATGTACTGCCATTAGATCACACACAGATAGCATAACCTACAATGGGCTTCTTATTCCAGAAGCAAGCACAAATAAAATAAAATAAAATAATAAATCATAATATAATATGAATTATAAAAATAAAATACAAATAATAAATATGGTGCATCATTAGAAACACAATTAAATTAGCATCTTATATTAGTTTAATATGTATTAATGATAAAAATAATAATCATTAAAAATAAAATAAACACAGTGCATTATTAGATGCATAACTTGTTTCTTAGTGTACTTGCACCACCTTAGCTAGCCGAATTTACACAAAAATTAGTAATTATTCAAACACTGCTTATATGTTAATTAGAAAATGTTAAATAAAATAAAATCAGACAGTGAAACTGGAGATCACACTTAACTATCAGCTCAGTTTAAGTTTCTACTTATTAATAGTTTACGGACCAACAGAAAGATAGAGACAGAATAGCACCTACATGAGAGGAGGAGCGAACCACCAAGTCTCTTCTGACAGCAGATGTACTGTAGAAGTCCATCCTGGTCTTTAGGTGCACTTGTAACAAGTGCGCTAGAGCCGTTCGCATCAGCTCCCAAACTGCCATCAATGACTCCATGAGATCTCAGAGAAAGCAGCATGTTGTTGTGGCTATTCTCAAGCAAACACTGCTGTGGTAAGACAAGACCAGACCAATAGGCTGGCAGGTAGACGTTAGACGCTCTTTCACAACGTTCACCGAGCAGGATGTGGTCAACTTATTGCACTTTCCGGACCTGATCAATAATTCATGCCTGGATGGGCGAAGGGTAAAGCGGTCAATGTTACAATCGCATCACAACTATTATGATCAGGTGGGTGGAGAAAAACATGGCTGTTTTTGCGGGTTTAACCCTTTCAAGACAAAGACAGCGAGATAGAGCCGAGACTGAAATCTGGCGAGCTACTACGAAGGGTGAATTTTAGATGTCCGCTTCAGAAAAATGAGAACAAATATATTTTCTTCAGGGAGGATCAAGGAAGTCTCTCTAAGCACTGACATGGAGAAACAAAGCTTGTCTTGGCCACAGGAAATCAAGTTATCGGATGATGCCACCAACAACTAATAGCCATGAATACACCGGACAGCTTTAATTTCACAGAGCTGAATCATCTTTCACCCCATCAAATTCACACCATACTTTAGGACTACAAAAAAAGCACAATGAGTTCAAGGGAAGAAAAAGAAATTCTGCTTCCTTCTGAAACTTTGCTGTCAGTGTTGGAGAGTTTAGCAGTACTTATGTACATTCAACACAAATATATTATACTATATGTGACTATATACACTAATACATAAAATAATATTGGATCTCATTTCGTAATATTGTTTTTCTTCTTTT